AGTAAGGCCATACCTCCTTTTCCAAGTCACAGGGGTAAGATTTAGGGAGACACAAACCGGGGATTGGGGTTTCAGCAGTGAGAGAGTGTGGGTGCTGGGGACCTACAGGAGGTGACATCCCAGGACACCCTGATCCTAAGGAGATGGCTCTCATGCTGGCCTCCCCTATGCCAAGTCTCCTGCTCCATGCCTGCTGCTGGTGTCCTGCCACAGGTGACCAAGCTAGTCAGTCAGGCTGTGCTCTGGCATACAGGCCTGAGCCTGCAGAGGCAGGAGCACTGCACTGGAAACCAGGGAGGTGCCTAGCACTGTCCTATTCTTCCCCTCCTGCCATGTCCTTCAAGAGGGCCTCGGGACCGTGACTGCTCTTCCCTCCCACAGCACAGTCCTCTCCTCTGCTCCCCATTCCCCTGGGAGCACATGCTTAGAAAGGGTCAGTCAACCCAGAGCCAGAGAACTGGACCTTGGGGTGAAGACCTGGCCACAGTGACGCTTGTGGGCAGAGTGCAGCTGGGCATGTCCAGGTTTGAGCCAGAGTGCTCCCTGGGGCCTGTTTTGTCTGCCAGGGACAGATATGTGATGTGGCACTTCCTGCCACCCCAGGGACAGGCTGCTGTCCCTCCTCTGGGTGCTGCAGGGCCCGTGTCGACCTCACCTCGACTGTGTTTTCCCTTGCCCTCATCTCTTTCTTTCTCCCTGCCCCGCCTGCTTCCAGAGCTCCTTATATATTTGCTATGAATCTTTATTTCCAGATTAGTCGCCATGCACACAAAATGGAGCGTCCCTGATTTGAGGAGGAAAAACAGTGATTACTAGATTGGTTCTCTCTCGCAGAATGTGGAGGCTCGAACAATGCCACACAATTTTAGTTTGTATAGCATCTTTCAAACCACGCAGTGCCCGGGGCGCAGCGCGGAGTTGCTGTAAATAATACAATAACTGAGATAAACATTCTAAACATCTTTGCATCAAGATGTGGTTTGTGTCCTGCCCTACTCAGCCTGCAAGGCTGGAAGGAAGGAGACAGAGATGGAAGGTGCAGCCCCCAAACTCTGGGGGGACCCAAGGGGGTAGCCTAGCAGGAATGGGAGATGTTTGTCTTTTTTCTGGAAGCCCTTAAGGTACCAGAGACAGAACACAGCGTGATTGGGTCCTGGCTATTCTATGAACATAACAGGCTTTGTGGCTCTGTTTACCATCTGAATCTTGGATTTTGCGTGAGAAAGTGATATCCGCGGTGAACTTTTCTTGTAGATCCAGTGTTTTTTGATTCTGCTGCCCCTGCAAGTTCCTGGGGTGACATTACTCATGATGCTGGCCACTGGATCCTGCTGAGGGGAAAGGACAGCTCCCCCTCCCAGCATGTTTGCAGAGGAGCTGCCCCTTGGCTTCCACTGGGGTGAACCCCAGCTCCCAATCTGGGGCTTACTCTTGGAGAAGCAGAGGGTGGTGTTGAATCACACAACCATGACCTTGATGAAACAGCTGCTGGTCTGCGTTTGAATCTCCCTGTGGGACTTTGGGCAAAAGCAAAAGACAACCCTCTGGTTCTCTATCCTGCCAACTTGAAGTAAGTGTCAAGATGCTATTTGTGAGTATTAAGCAAAATACTAGGTGCAGGGCTCCTACAGTAGTGTCTGGCGCACAGTGGGTGCACAATTGTGTGCTATCATTTTAACTACAGGTGATCCCATCTCCTGAGAGGAGAACCTGCTGGGCACTGGGTTGCCTTGGGGGGCTGGGGTCTCTGGGCTGTGAAGGGAGGCTCCAGATCCCCCGACACCACTGGGGCTGCCTCTGGGATGGACTCTGGCGCCTCTCTCTCAAGTTCGAGTTGCTGGAGCTTTGTTCGCCAGTTCCTCCTAATTTGGGCGAAGTTCGCCATATGGAGAGCAGGGAACAGTGTTAAAAAAGCTTTCACACATAGATAGCGCAGCACTTTCTCTGCTAAATGAGGACTGTCTTCCCGGCACAGATTTCACACGCAGATCTCCCGGGTGTTGAGTTCCCTCATCAGCAGGGGCGGAGTTGTGGAGCTTTTGGAGTTATTGTCTCTGGCTGGCGGGCTCCTGTTCCGACCCCAGGAGAAATCCCATCTTCTTTTTCCTCCCCAGGGGTGAGGGTTTACCAGCCCTCTCAGGTGAAGCGCCAGGGCTTCCAGGCCTGGCGGATTGGCCTGGCTCCCCCCAATCCCGGCCCTGGCCCCAGGCAGAGGCTGCCAGCCTGGGTCTCCAGGGATACCTCTCAGGCTGCTCTCACTTCGTGTCTGTTCTGAACTGAGCCCAAGTCCTGGTTCTCAATCCCTTGGTGCATTCTCTAGGACCTCTTCAGTCCCAGCCAATGCATCTGCCAAGTGTGACTCCCTATCCTCCCTGTCCCCCAGGCCTGCCCCGTGTTCTGTGTCTGTCAGAAGGTCCTACTCCCTGAGGCTGCTGCCCGAGGCGCTACCTGGCCCCCTCTCAGCTACACGGCTCCACCCAGCCCACCCTGGTGGGGCTGCAGATTGCTGGGTCTCGGTGCACTTTGGTCTCAAGTCTTTCTTGTTCCCTCTCTCCCTGTTTTAGTGCTGAGCCCAATTACCAGGGTTAGGAGCAAGACTTGTACACAAAAGCGTGTGAAAGGAAGAGAGGAAGGGTGACAGCCTTAGGTCCCCTCTCTTTTCTTACAATAATCAGGTAAAATCTGTGTGGCCATCCTGGCTTTAAAGAGCAGGAAGCTGGCCAGGCATGGCGACATACGCCTGTCGAGGCGGAGGATCATGTTTGAACCCAATCTGGATAAATTCATGACTTAGAGAGACTGTCAAAAACTTGACATTTTTTTAAAAAAGGGCCTGGAGGAAACTGAGAGTCACAGAGGTTGAGTGACTGTAAATGCACAGCTGCCTAGAGGGCAGGGCCTGTATCCAGCCTAAACATACGGACTCTAGATCTTCGCCCCTCTCATCAGCCTGCGCCTTGCATAGCGCCCTAGCACTAACACCCAGTTGCGCCCCACAATGCTCCATCACCGAGGTCCTGGAAGAGAGATGAGTGTGGACAGAGGGGCAGCCCAGAGCTGCAGGGCTGGCAAGAGCTGGTGACCCCAGGCAGACGGCACTGCATCGGAGAGGAGAGCCGACTGAGTCCAGTGCCTGGAGTCCACGGCTTTGTTCCAGCTCGACTCTGCCACCCACATGGGTTTGGCTCTCCTCGGGACCCCCGTGAGGCACAGCAGGTCTGACTTTGCCACCCCGTGGGAGGAAGAGGAGCTTGAAATTGTTTTTGAGATGTTTCCATTGATTTTCTTTAATGCACGGAAAACATTTCCTTTCACACACCGGCTTAGTTGTGGGGGAGAAGAGAAAGGATTTGATGCAAATTTGGGAGGGTGGGTGGAGCTCAGGGAGGGAGCCTCAAAGGTTTGTCGATCGCTTTTCAATTTATCAGGATTTTCCCGGAGTTCCTTTGCAAAGGCCTCTGCTTAATCTCACTGCTGGGTGTGGGACTGGGAGAGGCACTGTGGCTTCCAGGTCCACTGCTTTAGGCCTGAAAGCTCTGCTGGGCTCTGTTTAAACTCCTGTGTGTCCTGGCTTTCTAGAGGGAGTCCAGCCTAAGATAAGAGTCTTGGCGCTCCCTGAGAAAGGAAAGGCGAGAAATTGGGGCAGGCTTGTGGGGCAAGAGGGAACCTGTGTGAGACCGTGATGCCCACTCCCTGCTGTTGGGTCCTCTGCTGTGAGCAACCCCCAGGGTCCCCAAGGGGATGGTGTCAAAGCCTCAAAGAAGTCCCCTTCTCAATCTTCCTTGAGTGACCGCCTATGGGACCACGGAACCACATCACTTAATAAACGTTGGCTGAACGAATGTGTTAAAGAATGAATGGTAGGATGAATCAACTGGATAATGATGAAAGAAGAAACAGGAACCTGCGAAGCAAGACAGGGTCCTTTCCACGGGAGAGGACCCAGAGGACTGCTGTGGGCCCGATCAGGAGGCAGGAACGGGAATGGTCCTGCTGTGCAAAACTGTCCTTAGTATATCAACAAACATTCAACCAAGACACTGGAGAAATTCTTCTCCAGATCACAGACAGAGCCATAGACTGACACTCCTACCTAGTGACTGTGACCACGGAGGATATTTTAGAAACTGCTCTGGACTTTGAGCCTCACAGGGCTCAGGTCTCTAGGTCTCCTCCTCCTCCTCCACAGGCCTCTTGAGGCTGCGCTGTGGGTATCCCCTGGCTTGCTCAAGTGGCTGCTCCCAAGAGTATTCTAGACCCCACTGTCTGCTTCAGGGGTTTGCTCTTTGCAAACCCAGCTACCAGCACTGCCTGTGTGACCACCCCTTTTTCATCTGACACGAATGTCATGCAGCTGAATGTGACTTTATTTGCTTTTCTTTTGTTTGGAGCTGGGGACAAGCTGCCCATCTTCCTCCGAGCCCTGGATGTGGGGAGGCTGTGATTGGCAGCGGCCCAGGACAGAAGACAAATGCGCCTCAGGTAGCAGATCTGCCAGAAAAATTCTGCCCAGCCTGGACTCATTTCGCCCGGTTCTGGATGGCAGGAGTTTTGAATTTCTCTGGGCAACTCCCTCCTCTCCCCCTCCTCTAGCCCCTAAGAAACTCAAATCCCAGAGGCGGCAGGCTTGGATTGGAGGCTTCCTTCTGATTTTGTCAGCTCATCGCTCAGATTTGGCCACCAGTTTGACAAGGATGGTGCCCGGGAGGGTGGCATCGGGGGCGAGGACAGTGACAGCATCTAAGCCAAGCCTGCCTGCTGCAAACTTTGTTGAAAATGGCAGCATCTCCCTGGCCTCCCTCTGCAGGTAGATAAATAAGAAGCCAGCAAGGCAAAAGGACATCTCTAGCCATCACACCTCTGTTGGCTCCAAATGAAAGCAAATACCCGCCTTGGGACCCAGTTTCTTTTCTTATTGTGCCCTGAAAGTGGGAGAGGCTGCGGGGGAGCAGCAGGGGGCCTGGGATGGGCAGCGGGAGGAGGGGGCACGGGCCGCTGCGTAGCGAGCTCGAGAGCTCTTGTGCACAACGAGATTAGCGCGATGTGAACGTTTCCATGCCAAGGTGCTAACGCAATAATACACGCGAGTTTGCCAACTTTTCAAATTGAATGTATTTGATTATTTGCTTTTAATTAGTGTGAGTTTTGGAGTATGTACAGGATTGTCAGGGATACACTCAAAGCCCCCACAGCCCATGGAGCCTCCCCTTGGTAAAGACGGTCTGGGATTGTTCTTTTTTAGCTGTGGAGAATGAGATTTAACAGCTCTGTTAAATGTTTTAGCCTGTTTCCATTGTGCCTCTGTTTCAACCTATTGGCAAGACCAATTGAAGTGAGAAAATAAACCTCTTATCTGATCTGAATGCAAGGAGAGCTGCTCCAAAGAATTTTCTCCAGCTCCACTTTGGCTTCCTGCGAACATCTCTGTTTTATTTTGTTTGGGTCTGCGTTTTCTTTCCAGACTTGGCTGTTTAGCTGGCTTCCCTGTATTTCCCTTCCCTGTAAGTACATATATATAGGAAACATCTATGCACATGGAAATCAAGTAGTTGGCAGAGAGAGAAGAAGACACTGTTTATAGAATTTAGAAATTGTTTTCAGAGCTCTTGCCGTCTGCCCGAGACTCAAGTGCATCCTCAGCTTGGCGACCCTCTGCATGGCGCTTCTGGGGTGGCTCATGCCCCTGTGCTATGCCAAGGGACAAGGAGGCTGTGAAGAGGCCAGGCGATCAACTTGGAGTTGAGCCTTGGGCCCTACAATCCCATCTGTAACTTGGGGGACGGCACTGTTCTGGCTGGCACATGAGCTTGCAGGTCTTTCCTTCTGTTGACTTACCCAGAAATCCCCCTCCTTCCCATGGAGGTTTTGCAAGCAAGGGTCACCTACAAAAAGAAAGCAAGTCCTTTCTTAGGCCCAAACTTCATGCAACAGAAAGTGGCGGAGCAGTCTGTGGGACAAGCACGACACCGGGCATCCAGTTCTATCTGCTACTGAGAAGGGAGTGTGCTGCTCGCCACCTCACGCCTCCCGCTCAGCTTGTCCCAGGCCCAGGACACTGCAGTGTGCACAGAGACTCAATTCCACCCCGATATGGCCAGCCACCTGGTTTCCTCGTGCCCTGTTGCTATCCCAGCAGCCCACCAGGGCCACGAAGGAGCCGCCCACTGGGTCTCTGAGTCGCGAGACCCTCATCCGCATTCTGAGGACGGCCGCCCGGCTGCTCACCCATTACCTACCCAATTTCTCAGTTACATTAAAAAAAAAAATCTTTCCCCCCCTTAACAATAGAGAGGAACAAATGGTGGACAAATAACAACAGCAGCAGCTCTCCAACAAAAGCACGCAATTATTACAATTATACTATCCTTGATTAGGCTGCCACGCACTGCATTTCAATGTAATTGATGTTGTAGGTTGACACATCGGACACCAAATATTCTCGCCTGTCCCTTCTCTCTTTTGTTTCAGGAGCTGATTTGCATTTTCTATGCTTTTAGTAATGAAGACTTAGCACTTTTCCTCCATTAGAAAAAAAAAGAGAGATACAATAATCTGCAACTCGGCACTTGTTTAAGGATTCTGACCCTCGAAAATACCACTTTGCTTCACACATTAGCTGCTTACAAAGAAGGAAGCTAATGTATCATCTAATTGGGCAAACCACTGCATCTGATTTCTCTCAATCAGACTATTAGCTTCGTAATTACCCATCTGCCTCGTGTGGAAAAACGGCAAGGCGCACACCCAGCTAATAACGTTCTCAAGAGCTCTCCACCACAATGAGAGGGGCGACGTGGAGGGAGATGGGCTCTAACCATTTCGGTGCCAAGGTGGCTGCACAATGCAGGGGGGTCTGCCAGCCTCCCCCCGCCCGGCTGTGTTTAATTATTCTTCTTTAATTAGGAGGACTTTGGGGGGCCTGTTCAGGATCGCTGTCCCCACTGCTGTGGTGGCCGTGGCCGTGGCAAGTGTTGAAAGATGGTGGCCAGCAGGAGAGAAGCGAGGACGCCTCCTGCGGCCTCTGCAGGAGATGAGCGTGTTGAGGGGAGAATGTCCCCTGGCCTGTGTCCTTCAGAGGGACAGAGACCATCCTCAAGGTGCGAGCCCAGGGCCTCACTTCTCTTTTTTGTTCCTTTTCTTCTGTGGTTGGGCACCCCTTCCCCACATGGGTAAAAATGAGCCCTTGGGGTGCAGGGTCACTGCTTATCTGGGGACGGGGACATCTGGAGGTGGCCTCTGTACTGCAGAGGGTGTGGTATGAGTGCTTGCTAGCTTGTCACTGGGCCCTCTGGCTCACTTGTGGCTGGTACCATGTTCTGTGCACCCATTGGTTCCATTTGCAGCTGTAGGGTGTTTTTTCTGTCTGAAGATTATGCGACTTTGGTGTCTCTGATTCTGTCCCCTGGGAGGAGAGGTGGGCATGGATGGCGCCCTGCGGGATGAGGGAGGTGGGCATGTGGGTGGCTTGAAGGGGCAGTGTTGGTGCCGACCTAAGTGAGTACTTGGAGTCCTCGAACTGTTTAACTGCTTAACTGTTGCTTGTATAATTTCTAGGTCAGTCTAATTCCAGGTGAAATTTCTGAGGACAAATGGACACATGATTTGACAACTAATGTCTGATGATCACTGTTCATTCAGGTCGACAAATGGTGTGTGTTGGCATACCAACGTTTGTCATCTAACGGCTGAGAAGTGTAGCCCAGAGCTGCTGGGATCTGAAGAGGTGAAAAAGTAAATGGGGTGCATCTTTTTGGGCTAGAAAAGTAATACATTTGACTTTGTTATGGTCACAGTTTAATTATGATATCTGTCATTTGAAAGATTCATTGATAGCTAATGTTGAACTGCTAGGAGAAGACAAATTTACATACATATCCTAGCACCTAGGAAAACATTGAAAAACCCTACTGTTAAGGATTAAAAACTGGTGGTCAACTTAACGCCAGCTGAATTAAATCAGCAGAGTGCTGAGCATAGATGCTCCACCTGAGGAAAGTTGCCAGCATAAACAGAGATGTGGAGAAGGAGAAGCTATGCGTTAAGTCTTTGAGGCGTGGAGGCCTTGTGGGTTCTCCTACGAGTTGCTGTTTGAGCTGTTGGTTCTCCTGGAGAAGCTCTGGTCCTCACATCGAGCATTGCTTGGCTGCGGAGGGGAAGACGTGTGCCACTTGGTCTCCAGGATGAACTCATCACGCTGGCTTCCTGGCATGTATCCGACTGTGCTTGTCGTCGTCGGAGCTCGGGGCCTCCGTGTCGCTGAGGATGGCTCTGGTGCCTTTCAGGACAGCCCTGGTCCTTGTTGTGAGTGTGACTTTTCGGCTCCAGCATAAACCCTCATCCCACCAGCACAGCTCCTTCACCCCGCTGGCATGGACTTTCTGGCTTCCACCACTGACTTTTGGGCCTTCCCAGCACAGATGCATAAAAGAGACTGGTGTGACTCCTTCTTGTGGGCTCTGGACCTCGAATTGGACTCGTGGGAGGCATTGTCATGAGTTCTGGGTCTTCATCTGGATTCATACAAGGCATTGCTGTGAGGTTCAGGCCCTTGGCTGGATATTCTATGTCTTTGGTGTTACAGATAGATTTCCTGCAGTTTCTTGTGTTAACTCTGGGTGACCATCATAAAACAATATTATAAACTCTAAACACCTGACTACAACACCTACTGTGTGTGTGTTACAATGACCATTTGCATAACTTTCAATGGCAAACAACAGACAAATCTGTTTCTTACCCAAGTCAAAGTCTCAGGACTCTGTCTAGTTAAAGCTGCCAGTGGTTCAAAGGGCAGAGCCACCCATAGCCAAATCGCTGCTGTCCCACAGTGTCTGAAATCCAAGTCCACGTTTATTTCTTTCTTTTTATAATGTTTCATTTAAAGAATTTGGTTGATCTGAGATAATTCCCCACACCATCTATAAGAAAATCCAGGACCTGAACACCACATGTATGTGGAAAATTCTGTTATTACATCACATAGGGTTAGTGTGAAGACTTTCTAAGGTTTCCCAGGTTGCTGTTTAAAGAAAAGTTTGAATTTCCCTGCACTGTGTGAACTTGCTAATCATCTTTCCTTTTTTGCTATGGCTGTTGGGAAGCTCAAAGCCTAATTTTTACCCATATCCATTGGCTTAAAAGGACTATGTGATTTTTTTTATCTTTTATACTAATGTCACTAAAACTTTATTACTTTTTTGTCTCTTTGTAAATAATATTTTCTGACTGTTGCAGATATTTATTTCTCTTAAGTCCTTTTGAATTTCCACATGCATTTTTGGAGTGTTAAGTGCTTCTTGGGAAAATGTTCTAGTACAGTTGAAGAGCAGAGAGGGTAAGTCATTTACCAGAGTCACACAAATTTGATGTAGTCAAAAATCCTTTACTGTTCCGAGAACAAGTCTTTCCAGGTGTTTCCATGTTAGCCACGAAATCTGCTATAATTTCTTTACCCTGTGATCAGTTCTGACTTCTCCACGCCTCTTAGAGAGGTGCACGTAATTTGTTAGGTTTCCTGACAGCTTTCTCACTGTCCTGAAAGTCTAGAAAGCTAAGCAGTCTGCATCACAGAGCAGCATCCAGTACAGAGGCCCAGGCAGAGATGAGTCCTGGTTTCAGCTGGCCTTGGAAGTCAGTGGTGCTGGGGCCTCCTCAGGGCCCTGAGGTCCAGGTGAGAAGTGGCTTGGGAGGGAGCACCGAGGGGACAGGACAGGCATTGTGTCTCAGTGTCCCAAGAGCCACCCTAGGCTGCCTTCTTTCAGAGCAAGTAGTGAGAGGCCAGGACCTGTCCAAGCTGCTGCCTGGACCGAGCTCCCGTTTTAGCCCGCGTGAGATTTTGCATCCTCTGTCTGCAGAGCCCCTTAGCATCATCTGACTTTAGTCTCCTGGGCTCCTAGCTGCTCTCCTCCCTCTGCCCTCCCCTTCCCTCACTGCCTTCCCCTCCCTTCCTCTCCCCTTCACGGCACTGGGTCCTCCTCATCCGGGTCAGCTTGGCTGCTTGCTGAGGTTTCCAAGTGGTGACAGGTGTGTGGGCTGCCACTTGCAGAGCTGGTTGGGTGGCTCTCAGACTCATCAGGTTCTCTGGACAGTGGCACGTGGCTGTGGGAGGGGACGATTCTTATTGCTGTGGCCTGGACAGCTTAGCTGAGTCTGCATTTTTGAAGCACATGACCGGAGTTTCCCTACCGTTTGGGCAGGTTTCCACAGCCCTTCGAGGTCCCTAGGAGCCCACTTCTTGGGCTGTCTTCTAGGGAGGCCACCTCTAGCTGGCAGCCTTTCTTGTCTCACTGTCCTGCTAAGCATGAGTGGGGAAAAAATCTGGGGTCTCGTTTCAAAGTCTTCGTGGGAAGGGGCTCCCATAGTGTAGGAAGCAGGTACCTCTTGGGACTAGGGGTGTCATAGCAATTGTTTGACATTATTATTTCCTTTGCTAACATTTTTTTTTTTTTTGAGGTAGGGGCTCACTATGCAGTTCAGGTTGGTCTCGAATTCACTCTGTAGCCCAGGCTGGCCTTTAAATTTGCAACGATCCTCCTGCCTCAGCCTCTTGAGTGCTGGGATTACAGGTGTGTGCCACCACACCTGTGCTGCTAATTACTCACTGAATTCTATGACTTATTTGCTTTTTAATAGGAATAATTCCTGTGAGAATTAGATCATCATCACCTTTTTCCAAACATGCAGAGCCCTGGGAGAACTGCACCAAACAGGGTTCAAGTAGCGACTTTGTTCTAGTTTGGACAAATCTCAGGAAGATTTTCTCTGTCCCCAAGTGCTATCCTGACTATTCCATTTTATTCCATTTCCTCTGGGTCTTTCCTCAGAGGAGGAGTGCATCATACTAATACCCAGATAATTGCAAACACAGCCAACTTCCAATTGATTATAAGTAGATTATGCTGCAGTTTATCTCTGGCAAATCTTGCTTTTCTCTCTTCGTTAACATCTCTGTTGCTTACTTAATTTCCTGATTGCTTTTATAGCCATTACCATCTGCCACTGAAACTGGAGTTCAACAGGAACTAGAAGAGTGAAACTTTTCAGATGAAAATAATTACTGGGAGGCCCTGGAGCCAGGGGAGGGAGCGACCTTGGGGGAAGAGTGGGCTCTGCTCAGATGGACCCTGGGAGGCACAGAGCCAGCTGGGGCTTGGCAGTGACCTAGCATCTTCTACCTGGCTCATTGATGCGGAAGGACATCAAGCTCTTGGTCAGGTAAGAGACTTGTCAAATGTCACAGAGACACTTAGAGAAAACCTCAGATACAAGAATGCAGAATCTTTATCGCCTGTCATGATTGTTATCAGTCTGCATGTACAGAGTTGAGGTGTGTGCAGAGCTGAAAAGTGTGATAATAGCTTCCCGGCTCCTCTAAAATTCTGTCTTCAGGGTGCAATTGCACGATATTGAGCACAATATTGTAAATAACAAGGATATCAGATAGCCCCACAAGACAAAGCAATCCTAACCACAGATTGTAGCAATACACTCCACAGTAATTTGATACGCAGAAATTAGTTCATATTTGTCTACTGTTTGGATTACCTATGCGATGACTCTCCTGCGTTTCTGTTGATGACGAGGAACCAGTGTTATTTCTGCCTTCGTGTAGGAGTCGGAATATGTGTCACATCTTCAGCATCTGGATGAAGTCCAGTCTGGTTTTTTCTCCCCATCTGCTCCTGGTATTTTAAGTAAAAATGTTTGTATCTATATCCCCCGAGCCCTGTAGTAAATTGTAAATCATGCCATTATATCTGGTAAAACCACAGTGTCAAGCAACAATTCACAAAGCCACAAAGATTCTCCGGAGTAATTTTCCTGTTCTCGTTGATCAATTTTTATATTTCCCCCCTGGTCATATGCACACATTAAGTGGCACTAATTCAGTGAGAAAACTCATAAGGGATAATATTTCAGGTGGCACAAATGGCAGCCATGCCTTTGCAAGGATCTATTTTATAATTGCCTGTGTGTTCCACCTGAATCTGCTGCCCGATGCTGTTTCAGTCCAGTGAAATGGACACAGAAATAGGGTGGGGAGAGTTTCAGTTTAATTAGGTGGAAAACCAGGAATGTCTCAAGTCAAAGATGGCGCAGCTGCAACGAATTCTTTCTTCTGGGGAGCCTGTTTAATACCTGATCTTGGGATGACAGGTGGGGGGACAGGCAGGTGCCAGGTGGGGGCTTATTCCTGGTCTTCCTCCCAGAATTCCATGGTGGGAATTTAGCCAGGGCATCGATTTCTTCTTTCAATTTGGTTTTTAGTTTAAGTGAAAATTTTTTAATAGTAACTTTTAAGTTCAAGTGTAACAAGTATCAGAAGGGAACAGGATGAACAGATGTTCAGGGTAACGATGTTTTCCAAAGTAAGCAAAGCTGTGTGGCTGTCACACACATCAGAAGAATTTATCAGCCACACGGAGCACCCCTCCTTATCTTCTGTAGTTCTTGAGAACCCCCTGGAAGACCCCTGCTCTTGTGACTTTCATCACTGTGCAGTGAGCACTCTGCAGGGTCTTGTCGCTATCACTCCACGAGCAGGGTGTCTGTGAAATGCACCCACGTTGAAGAGCACCCACGCGACAGGCTGTTGCTCATTTTCAGTGCTGAATTGTGCTCCTGCACTTGTGCGTGTGCATGAGTGTGTATACTGACTCCTATTTATCCGGGCAGCTGGCTGTTATGGATAGCAGGGTTACGAGCATTCCTATGAAATCTTTTGACACACATGCATCGTGTGGGCACACGCCCAGGATGTGAGTACTGACTTACCAGGATTTCATGTTTGTAGGTCTAGTAAGGATTTCCAAGCAGTTTTTCCAAGTGGTTTTAGCAAGTTACACTCCCACAAGCTGTGCATGAGAATTTCAGTTGCTCGGTGGCCTCACTAGCATTTGGTATTGTCCCTTTCATTTAAAAATTTAAGCTTCCGGTGGTTGTGTATTGTATACTATTGCAGTTTGGATTTTATTTTCCTGATGATTAATGATCATTTCCCTATGCACTTGCTGATCATTTGAAAATTCTGTCTGTCTCTGTTTCTGCTTCTGAGACTGAGTGCAAGCCCTTTGCCCTGAACTACACCCTCAATCCTTTTTATTTTTACTGTGAGACAGCATCTCACTAAGTGATCCAGGCTGGCCTCAAGCCTGTGATCCTCCTGCCTGAGTTCCCTGAGCCACTGGGATTACGCATCACCACACCTAACTGAATGGTCTTTTGAAAAGCTCTAGTACAAGTTTGCTGTCCATTTCTTTTTTTAAAAAGGGATTTTCTACTTTTCTTTTTTGATTAGTTATTCTTTGTATTTCTGTGTATAATTGCTCCACATTTGTTAATCTTTACGCAGTATCTTTCTTCTCCTTGGGACTATCCTGTTTACCCTCATAATGCTTCAATTTATGGTTATTTCCTTTGTATTTATTGCTTCTAGTTTAGGAAATATTTACTCATATATATAACCTGATTGTAGTCTCTTATTTTTCTTTCTTTATCTTTTAGAATAGCGACATTGGGTAGTGTACTTATTCTTTTAATAGTTTTCTTGAGGTGAAATTGACACACAATAAATGACACATTTTCAAATGTACAATCAGATGATTTGATATATGTATCCTTGCAAAACCATTTCCATAACCAGGATAATGAACACACCTGCCAGCCCCCAAAGATACCTCATGTCTCTGTAATCTCTGCCTTTAAACCTTCCCTCTCTCTTTAGTTTCCCTAGGGAGACATGTTTTGTGTCACCCCAGAAAATTTCTAGGTTCATACAGATTCTATTTCTACAGTGATAGAATTTTCTAAAGAATTATATAGCATGTAATCTTTTTTCAGTTTTGTTTCTTTAGTAGGATTTTTTAGAGATTTGTCATGCTGTTACTATGCTGATAATTCATTTGTTTTCAAAGCTGAATAATAGTCTTTTATACAGAATATTACAATTTGTCCATTCATCTTTCAATGAACATTTGGGCTGTGTTCAGTTTTTATCAATCAAGCTGCTATGATCAGACATTAATTTTTATTGCATCCATGATAAATTAGCACAAACTTAGGGGCAGATATCTGTAGAAATTTGTTTATTTTTAAATTTTATTTAAAGAAAGACTAAACAAAACAGAAAATAAGTAGAAATAATACATACGTTCAGAGAAAAAAACGAACTGTAAGAAATCACTAGTTGATGTTTACATATTGTCGTTTTACAAATAGTTGTTCAAGATACAAAAATGGAACATGTAAAGTGGGAATTCAAACAATGAGACCGCAAACAGTTCTGTTCAACTGTCCAACAAAAACTTAGTAACATGGTTGTCAATCCTATACACTTAAACATACATGCAGTTATCCATAGCTTCATTTATGTTTAGATTAAGCAAACTAAAGCAGGTTAAAATCATTCTGAACAAAGAATAATAGTATTGCTGGATTTCACATCATGACATTCCATGATCAGCACTGGTACTGTAGTGTCTTTTTTAAAAATTTAATTTAAAGAAAGATTAAACAAAACAGAAAACAGGTAGAAATAATACATAATTTCAAAGAAAAAAATAAACATTAAGCAATCACTAGTTGATTACAGATTGTTTTCTTACAAATAGTATTCAAGATACTAAAGTGGAGCTTATAAAGTAGGGATTCAAACAGTGAGATTGCAACCAGTTTTGTTCAACTATCCAACAAAAACTTAGAAATATGGTTATCAGTTCTATACACTTAAACATACATGAAGTTATCCATATCTTCAATTATGTTGAGATTGAATAAACCCAAGCAGGCTAATATCACTCTGAACAAAGAATACTATTGCTGGGTTTCACATTATGACACTTCAGGACCAGCACTGGGTATTTTAGTGTCTCTTTTTTCTTCAGAGTATCTTTTGATTTCATCATGTGTTATATGATCAGTTCTCATAAACTGTTTATAGATTCTACACATGCATGAGTCTTAACATGTATTTCCTTTCTATATTAGAGGGAGAAACAAAACAAAGCAAACAAAACAAATTCTTATAAATACATGAAATGAAATAAACATATAAGACTGTTGCACAAATCGTTCTACCATGTTTCCTGTGTTGTCTCTTGTTATCGCCAATAGAATTGGCTATATCATCAGATATAGTATAATTGCATATGTCAGTACCTAACAGTATTAATAAAAACACAACTTTGTATATAGTATAAAACTTCAAAAACTGGCAGTTATCAAACCAGAATGTGTATTGTTGAGTCTTGTCTTCTTCAGTGTAGTTGTCTATACTCTGACTTGATACTATCAATCATATCAGTTTTGAATAAAATCTTCTCTGCCTCATTTCTGTTATGCTCTTTTTTGCCATCAGTTGTCTGCTTATCTTCTTCATTCTGTTTTCTGCTCCATTCATTGAGGCCTCTCTGCCACTGTTCCTGGAATCTTAGTACTTTTCTCTCTGTCTAGAATGCCCTGCAGTATTCTCTGTAGAGTTGGATTGGTGGTTGCAAATTTCCCAAGTTCCTCTTTGTCTTGGAAGCATCTTGTTCCTCCATTAATTTCTAGAGACAGTTTAGCAGGGTATGTCAATCTGGGATGGAGGTTATTTTCTTTCAGGGCTTGGAATATTTCACTCCAGGCTCTTCTTGACTTGATGGTTTGTATCAAGAAGTCTGCCATTATTCTGATGGGCCTTCCTCTGTAGGTTATTTGTTTCTTGTCTCTAACAGCTTTTAATATTCTGTTCTTATATTGAATTTCTGGAATCTTGATTATTATATGCCTGGGTGTAGTTCTGTTTTGGTTGTAGGTGGCTAGAGTTCTGTATGCATCATATATCAGAATATCATTTCCTTTTCCTATGTTTGGGAAGTTTTCCTTAATTATTTCTGTGAATAACCTTTGTAGTTCCTTTGTTTGTATCCCAGCTTTTTCATTTACATTCTTTATTCTCAAGTTATAGATCCTTTTGTCATCTTCTAGCCTTTGTATTGTTACTGCTTGTTTACTTGTTTTTAAAAAGTTTTCCCTTTCATACTCCCACATTGCAAAATTGTCCTCCAGTTTAGATAATCTATCCTTATTTTCTTTCAAGCTGATTTGCTATCTTTCCATAGAGTTTTTAATTTCCTGGTGATCTCTTAGAATCTGCTTCATGTATTCTATATATTTTTTTATATTCTTCACCAAATGGTTCTTTCTTGTGTTTGAATTCCTCCCTTCTTCCATCTGTGTCTGCTTGAGGAGTGCTTAGTATCTCTTTTATTAATCTTCTTATATCTTGCTTTATTTGGCTAAATATCTCACTTTTGAACTCATCTATGAGGTCCTGAATATTTCTCTTTATGTCCACTGGTGCTGTGTCTGATATGGCATGTTTGTGTTCTTATTCTCCTTTGTATTTACCTGTCCTACGTCAATATTCTCAGGGTTGGGACTTGGGGACTTTTTGTTGTTGCTTCCTCTTCCTATCTTTTTTTGCTTTTTCCGGAAGGCCCCAGTTTCTTTCTTTGTTGGTTACAATTCTTCTGAAGCACGCTGGCTAGATGACCCTTCACACTGCAGTGTGTTAGTGAGTTTCAGACAGGGACAGCATATGCTGGCCCCTCCCCTCCAGATTAGTCAAGCTGCTGTGGCCTGCACTACTGTATTACTTTGTGCTGCCTCCCTCTGGACCAGCCAAACCTCCGAGGCCCCGCTGGGCCAGTGTGGTTAGTGTGCTACACCTCTGCAGGGACTTGATCTCGGATAACCTATTGGGCCTTAGCCAGGTCACGTGACAGGTGTAGCTCACTCCACCAATCCTGTTCAGGAAGGGAAAAATTGACTGAAGTCACTGCTGCCCCTTGTACTTGCCAGTTCTGCCCGATCCCAGAATGTCATCTGCCGGGGGCCCCCCCTATTTATGGAATGGCTCCACTCTTGTCACTCACCACAGGTTGTTGTAGGCTCCTGGCCAATTCAGCTCTCCATTTGGCTTGCTGACCCCCAAACTCAATGTAACTGTGCCTCCAGTGAGTCGAATTAGCAGGACCTTGGATGGCTCAGCAAGTCACGGCGGGAGCCCAGCAAGTCACAGCATTGGCCAGTCGCCTTAATTTCTTCTTGGGATGAGAGAATTCATTTCCCTCTGTTTGGGGCTCCCCACTCTGTATTATGTTGAATTCTAAGTTGACTATCTCAGGGATCTTCTGTAGCCAGTTGTTATCTGTCCACCATCTTTGCTCCTCCTGCTCAAAGTTTATATATATTATGTTTATATATACCTAGCAGTGCAGTAGGTTTGTTTGCATCATTGCCAACACAACAATATAAATCATTTTGTGCCACCATATTATAACAGCTAAGATGTCACTAGGCAATAGAAAATTTTCAGGTCCATGACAATTTTATGGGGTCTCACTGTATACTGTGTCTAGTATTGACTGAGTTGTTATGCAGTGCATGGGTCTGCCATTCTTGGTAACCATTTCAATAGTTCTTCCATTGTTTGTAGTGATCCTGTTTCCATTGGGTAGCATTTCCTTTTTGCTTGAAGGACTTCCCTTTATAATTTGCATGGTATAGATTTCCTGGTGATAATTGTGTCAGCATTTATATGTTTGAAATATCTTCATTTCACCTTCAGTGTTGAGAGATATTTTCATGGGTTCAGATTCTAGGCTAACAGCCACCCCCCCCCAAGTACTTTAAAGAAGATGTTCCATTGTTTTCTTATTTCATTGTTTCTAGTGAGAAATCTGCTGCCATCCTTGTTTTGCTATGTAATTGCTCTAATTCTTCTGATCACTTTAACAATATTCTCTATGTTGCTGGTTTGGTACAATTAGATCATGATGTGTATTGATGCATTTTTCTTTATGTTGCATTTTGTGAGGCTTGTAGAACTTTTCTGAATCTGTGAGTTTATGATTTTCACCATATTTGGAATTTTTCAGCCATTATTTCTTAAATACTTTCACTCTTCCCTTCTCCTTCCCTTCAGTATAGTAATTCCAGCTAGTAAAGATGTTTAAACTTAGTCCCAAATTATTGGTACTTTCTTTATTTAAAAAAATTTTTGTGTGTTTCATTTGGATAATATTTATTATTATGTATTCAGGTTCATTGATCTTTTTTCCTTGTATGCTTATTCTGCTTTTAATTTCATTTGGTATATTTTTTTGTCCAAAATATTATAATTTTCTCTTTCAAAATTTGTTTTTTAGATATCTTCCAGCCTTCTACCTTTCATACATATGAAATATAATCATAATGACCATTTTAATATCCTTGTCTGCTATTTCTAACATCTATGCAATTATGGGTCTGTTTTGAATAATTTTTACTTTCAGTATCAGTAGTTTTACCCTACTGGCTGCACACCTGGTGATTTTTAACTTTATGTGGGATACAGACTTTCTTCATTGGGTGGTAGTTTGATAATTTTTGATCTTAAGTTTTGTTGGTCAGAAACAAAGGTATTGTTAAATTGAAGTTAATAGTTTCTCACAAATGAGACAATACCTTATAAATATCCTACTTCAGTGGTCCCCAACAGTCTGGCACAAGAGACTGGTTTTGTGAAAGATGATTTTTCCATGGCTGTATGTGTGTGGGGAATGGTTTGAAGATAATTCAAAAGACTGCACAATCTGGATGCCTCAATTGCATAATTCGCAGTAGGGTTTGAGCTCCTGGGAGAATCTAAGGCTGCTGCTGATCTGAACTGGAGCAGGGCTGAGGCAGTGAGGTGAGCAGGGGGGACTGGTGTAAATACAGATGAAGCTATCTTGCTTGATGCTTACCTCCTACTGTGTGGCCCATTTCCTGTATAGACTGGTACTGGTCTGTGGCTAGGGTTGGGGACCTGAGGTTTTCCAGTTTGGCTGGTGGGAACGGGTGCCAGTCTCATCTTTATAGGAATATAGATACTGTTCTTCATACTTCTCTTTTCTGGCTCTTTCCCTGGGGTTAGACAATGTCCTCACATGTGTGAAGATGAGTTTTTGTTAAATGCCTGATGGGAACTTCTGCAGATCCACAATGTTCTCCATGTAGAGTTATCCCCGCCCTCACCCCATCTCCTACCACCCACCTCTAGTTCTCTTTCTCACAACTCTAGTGGCTTGGTTTTCTTGGAGTCTTAATTCCATCTCCTCCACTCATGAAGCCCTCAGGATCTGCCTGTGTTCCCTTTCCCTGCACTGCATCCTGGAAAGTCTCTCACCCTGCTATGCTGAGGCAACAACAAGGCCCACCTTGTTTTCTTCCCATGTTTCAGGGTTCAGCATTCTCTGTGGCTTGATAGCCTGTGTGTAGAAAAATATCCCTTCATATTTTTATCTTTTTTGGATTATTTTCAGGTGGGAGGGTAAATCTGGCTTCACAGTCCTTCTTGGCTGACAGCAACAGCTTTTGTAGTAATTTAAATTTGAGTTATTTCATATGAACTGAAATAAAATAAAGTAAAATTAAATTGAATTAAGAATTCTGGCCCCCAGTAACACTGATTATATTTTAAGTGTTCAATAGCCATATGTGGTTAGTGTCTATATCGTTTGGATGTGTAGATATTTTTAAAAAACCACTTTTATCACTGTAGAAAATTTGATTAGAAAATCTTGTCACAGAAGTAGAATGGTTTCCTCTTTTACAAAAAATTACCAGGTCATCATTGTGTATGGTATGAATTAAATCTCAACATTTTTTTCAATACAGGTGTTCCTTGTCTTCTTTATTCTTGACCTCTGTAATTCCCTTAAATTTTTAGAAACACTTGAACAATTTTAAGGGAAAGAAACCCCATTATAGGACATTGATCAGAAAGCATTGACTCTATACAGAAATTGAGGAGAACTGACATGTTTGTATTTTTCCCACTTATGAATGGTTTATTCTTATGTTTTCCACTATTTAGTCTCTAATTTCTCTTTGTGATAGTATTTTATAGTTATCTGGATTGTCTCAAATGCTGTCATAGGAGTTGCAAGGCGAACAGTTATATACAGGCCACAGTTTATAATTTTATTTTGTGATGATCACCCAGAGTTAAATACCAGAAAGTGCAGGAAATCTGCCCACAACACTGAAAACCTGGAAAATCCAGCTGTGAGCTTAGATCCCACAGCAATGTCCTGCATAAGTCTAGCTGAAGACCTAGAGCCCATGACAATGCCTCCTGTGAGTCCAACTGGAGACCTACAGCCCGCAACAATGATTCATGCAAGTGTGTTTTACAGATCTGCATTGGGTAAGGCCCAAAGGTCAGCAGTGGAAGCTGGGAAGTCTGTGCCTGCAGCGTGAAGGATCTGTACCAGCAGGCGGAAGATTCTACACTGGAGTCAAGAAGCAATGCTCAAAGTTAGGATCAGGATTCCCCCAGAAGTACCACAGCAACCCTCAGTGACAATGAGGTCCTGAGCTTCTCTGACAATGAGAATGGCTGAATTCATATTGAGGAAGCTAGCCATGACAAGCTTCTCCAGGAGACCCAACAGCTCCACGTAACACTAGGGAGAGCCCACAATGCCACACCCTTCCTCTCCATATTTCCTTCTACGCTGGCAACTTTTCCTCACGTGGGCCATATACACTCAGCACCATGCCAATTTAATTCACCTAGTGTTAAGTGGACCACCAGTTTTTGACTCACAGCAAACATTTTCATTAAATTTCTTCTTAGGTACCTGAAATTTTAGTTATTTTTATAAGTAGGATCATTTAAAAATTTTATTTTCTATTCTTTTGTTTCTACTATATAAAAATACAGCTTGCTTTTTATTTTTTCCTTTAATAAATGAGCTTGATGTGCTTATTATTTTGGATATTTTGTCTGTAGATTATTTTTGAAATTAGTATATAACCAATTGCAATCTACTGGTATATCTAGGGTTTTTAATATCTTTTTTCTTGCCTTATTCCATTGACTAAGGCCTCCAGCAGTGTGTTGTTGAGCAGCAATAGTGATCACAGGCATCTTTATCTAGCTCCTGATGGCAGAGTTTTAATATTTCATTGTTAAGTATGGTATACATTATCACTGTTCTTTAAAAGATTACCTATACTAAATTAAAGGAGTTCTTTTTTATTGATTTCTTGTTTCCTAAAACATTTTTAAACATTATGAAAAAGTGTTGGATATTAGCAAATGTTTTTACTGCATTGACAGAGATTATGTTTTTTTCATTTTTGTCAGTATACTGATGTTCCAGTTTTAAATCAATATCTTATTCTTAAAATGACTTGATTGTTATGTAATTTCATTCTTATATATCACTGGATTCTATCTGTTTATGTTTTAGTTAGACTTTTGAGTTTATGTTAGAGACATCACTATCATCTATTAAATGATGGTAGCTCATATACAAATTTCTGAACCTCCTGATATTCACATGCTGCCTTCCGGGGTTGTACAGTGCATAAATCCCACAACCAATTGCAGTGTTCTGTGTACTGGCGCAATGCCTCCTTGGCCTGACTTGGATTTCTGTTAAGATTCCTAATTGACAGAGTTGTCACATCATAGTAACATAGCATTTGGGATATAGGAAGCACTGCTAAATTTGTAGAATACATATATGCTTGGAAGCATGAACAGACAAATTGGTGAGGCTTCATCTATATACCTCTAAGATAGTAACTTCTGGGTCCTCATCAGATTCCTGGGTCCTAGATGCTCCAAGGACTTCTGGGCATTAGGGTCTATGGTACAGGAGCAGTGGACACTTCTGCCTGTCTCCATTCCCTTCTCACAGATCTTGATCCCTAGCTCCTGACAGCCACATACAGAGCGTGAGACTGTACATTTGAGTTTTTGAATGGTGAACCTTGCTAAGTGTTCAAGTGGCTTTGCTAGTGGCTGGTATAGAGGAGCCTTAGGAGACTCATATTGGGACTCATTCTGGGGCAAAATAACCCTTGGCCTCACAGCCTAGTGCAGCCAGGCCTGGGACGTGTCACAAGGCTGCATCAGCGTGGCCTGCCTGCTCACCTGGGAACCCTTTTCCTCTGTGGTGGTCTTCATGGACATTTGTGACAAACACCACTGCCCAGCTGCTCTAGCTGCAGAAGAATGTCATCCTGCAGTGCTGGAGTCTAGAAGACCAAGATCTTGGGGTTGTGAGGGAGATTGTGGCTTAGCCTGCCTCCCTGCTCCTAGGGGTTCACTCCTGGTCTTTAGTGTCCCTTTGTTTGTGGCAAGGTGACTTCTGTCTTTACGGGGTGCTCTTCCAGTATGCCAGTGTGTACCCAAATTCTGTCTTAGTTACTTTTTACTTGTCACTGAGACAAAACACCTGATGCCCAAAGTTGGGAAAGGAAAGATTTATTTTGTACAGTTTTTGAAGGTTTCAAACCATACTCAGTTGGCTCCAAGGCAGGGTGGCATGGTGGGGCTGCAGTTCATGGTGGCTGCAAACAGCAAGGCGGAAACTGGCAAGAGTGAGAGACACACCTTCTTCCTGCCATTACATCACATCCTGGCTCCACCGCTAGGCCGTATAGCACTCACACCTCCCAATCCAAGCCCTAGACAATGAACCAATCACAAATGCGTAATACAAACACATGAGGCCTGGGGGCCACCAACATAAACCATGACACCCCACCTTTTTCCTTTTTGAAGACTCCAATCCTAGCCATATTACTTCTACAAAGATCCTATTTCCGCAGATTCTTCAAACTTCACAGGTAGTAGGGTGGCATTTACAAAGCTTTTGCAGGACCACAATTCAACTCGTAACTCCTTTGGGGTGTTTATCTGTGATGTGGGTGCAGTGAGCCCAGTTAGCTGGTTTTGATACCACTGACCTCTTGGGTAATCAAAATCCCTGTGAGAGCTGCAGTCTGAGGTGCAAGTTTTAGCAAGAAGAGTGTTTTGTTTCTGAAAATAAATTGGTAACAAGTATGAGGTTTTTTCTCAAATGATATGGTGATTGGAGGTCTATTTTTTTAAGGAACTGTAGAGACCATAGTTCTCACCCACAGACGGGGATCTGTGTTTCACGGAGCACTTGAACCTGATGTCCCTCGGCAACATGGGGAAAATAAAGGGAGAAATATATCTGAGGACAATACTCTGGTCATCTTGAAGGTGTCTTTAACTTGTCTGTGAAAACGACATCAACCACATCAAGGAAACAGGGACCAGACTTTGACGGTAGTCTTTTTGCCTTTGCCACCCTCCTGGCCCAGCAGTGAAGAAGAAAGGCATTTCTTTGCCTTCTTTGGTTGGGGGCAACTAAGAGATTTCAGTGGATACCTAGGGTCGTGTTTCTTTTTTCACATCTATGAAAATGGCTACCATTAGTGAGAACAATGCCCACAGTGTTAATGTCACCAGCTGATGTATCTCTAGGGACTAGTGCAGTGCCTGGTACTTAATTATGTGCCAAATGAATGGGTGAAGTAGCAGCTTGTCCAGAGTGATTCAGTTGTGCGTGGTGGTCCTAGGGCTATCTGTAAAAGATCTCCCTAGCTGAGGACACTGAGGCTTTGGGGGAAAAGTGACTCTGCTTAATTAAAAGGAATGTGACTGTTTTTTGGCTTCATAGATGAAGTATGATCAAAATATATGGTAAATGTTAAAATGAAAAGTATTACAATAAGACCCATGGCCGTGGACCCCCCGCGGGGTCCCCCCCACTTTGAATACATTTACCCCACTGTTCTCCCTCTGACGTGGTTCCGGTTTTCTTCAGCGAGTGTCTTACCAAGAAGTTATCATCAAAAGTGACGTTGGACCCTGCTGCAGGTGCCATCCAATGGGAAGGCAGCTCGTGGAGACATTATGCCGTCTCCTCACCTGCCTTATCCCCGGGTCTGGGACTATGTGACCTCTGTCTCTTCCTCAGAGTCAAAATAACCATGGAAAGTAAACTTTTTGATTGATTCAGGACACTGAAGTATCCATGACAGTGCAATTAGAGACACCCAGAAAGAATGAAGCTGATGGAAGAAACAGAGAAGACGCCATGTCTGCCCTTGGGACACCTGTGGTCCATGGGGTCCAGGAACAGGCACTGTCCCCTCGCCTCTGCAAACTTGTCCATATGCTAGAAGCCCAAGGCCTCAGCAACCCCAAATCTGATCATCCCACCTTGATCTTGCTCTGTCCAGCAGTGCAGCCTTGTCCTACCGATCTTTTTAGTGGCCAGGAAAAGCAGCCCAGGCAGGGCCACCGATGAAGTGCAGGCAGCCTGGGCAGGGAAGGGGCGGGGGGACCAAAGTGTCCCTGAGCACAGGCAGGGCCCAGCTGGCTGCACGTTGGGGGAGCAGCCAGGATGCAGGAGGGACAGCGCAGCCTGTGCTTCCCTGGGAAAACAAAAGCCACAGAAGCTGGAAATGAAGTTTCCAGAAGCTATACCCTCGGCATTGTGGCTTGCACTTTCTGGAAGGCAACAGAGGCAGCATCTGCGGTGGGCTGACTGCGAAGCTGGAGTCTGGCTCCAGCTGCCTGATCGCCTTCTCCATTCACGGCACACAAAGCCGCCCAGGCCCATCCTAATGGGAGGTGTTATCTGCCTCTTGCAGACCGAGAGGCCCCTGCACCGAGCCCCACGTCCCCTCCCACCCTTGGCGGGCACGGGGTGAGACAGCCGTGCCACGAACACTGGCCAGGCCTTCTGCATCCAAACCTGAGCTTTATCTCCCAGCCCGTCCTGCCTCTCGGAGTCTCCTGGAGAGGCTCATGCTGCTGGAATGAGCCCGCGCAAGGGCCTGCTGGGCTCCACACTGGCTCCTGGTCACCGCTGCTCCTTCCATCTTCCCTCTGGGTCTCCTTGGCTGCCACCAAAGCTGCAAGTGGCTGCTGCTCTTCTGTGCATCCAGGCAGGCCTACTCATAGCCCAATTTCTCCTTCCTTCCCACCTGATTTTCCTCCTTGAGTTATTAAATAAAAGTAGAGAGGCCCTGCACACGCAGATGTGATTTTCTCTATTCTGACATGCGTCGAAGATACTTCTCACCAGTGCTCCAGTCTCCTCATTCATTCATCCTGCCGCTCACCCCTTGATCCATCCTCTGGTGTAGCTTTTGGCTGACGTTTTACTATATATCAGGCTTTCTGCTTGCCGGAAGGAATACAGTCCCGCCCCTAAAATGAGGTGCCATAGAAAATGACGGTGAGTGCTCAAATTTAAAACAAATCACACTAAAAGACATTTTGCCATTGATCACCTTCAAAATATTCCTCTTCCCTCTGGACACGCGGCCGTATCATTCTTGCCGCTTTCTGAAGCAGTTCTGGAAATTCGCTTTCAGGAATGTCTTTAGTTGTACAGTTGTAGCTGCTGCCGTGTCCCAAACTGATTAAAGAAGTTTACCTTTCAGGGTCATTCTGATGTTGGGGAAGAGCCAGGAATCACGTGGTACCAGCTGTGGTGAGATGGGTTAGGATGCACTGGGCTATTTTTATGAGCTTGACCTTCTGTTGAAAGGGATTTGGCAGCAGCAATCACCGTGTTTTTGATCATACCTCATAAAGACACTCATGAAAAAAGACTTTCAGAACTGCTCAGAAGGTGGTGAGAGTGATGGGATAGGCTCGTGACCACACTGTGTAGAGAGTGAAGGGAACAGAAGGACCACGTGTTTCCTAGAACCCACAAATCCAGAGGGCAGCCAAGGTCAGAATGTGGGCCAAGTTTTTGTTCCATGTTTCAAGCCACCAGATAAAGCACTGGGCGCTGGACCCCTCTGCAGCATCCTCCGGCTCAGATGCAGGGGCTGGACTTGAGACCTGTCGTC